CGAAGGACACGCGGGACGGGACGGGACCGGACGGCACTTTGGGTGCGGGGACCCGCCATCTCCGGGGCCCCTGATCCGACAGGCTCCGCCTGGGACAGCTCGGGATTCAGGTCCGCGACCTCAGGCGGGACCCGGAGGCGATGGCCACCTGCGGAAGGGGCCACTCCGAAGCCCGTGTTTCCTGCGGCGCCCGATCCAGGTATCCTGCAGCAGAGACGTGTTTGGGGTCCTTTACCAGGGCCAGGCGGCTGCAGACCCCTGACTGTGTCCTGTGTGTGTCGGGGGGGAGGTGTCCGGCGGTGGAGGGCGGAGGACGGGTCTGGGGCAGGGAGAGCTCCCTTCTAGGGCTGAAGCCCGGGCAGCTTCCTGCTGCCTCCCTGCTCCCTGACCTCTGCAGGCCACAGGTGCAGTCACCCAGCACCCTGTGTCCCGGCCAAAGGCCACGGCCCGCCTGATCTGTGTGTGTCCCTCACATCCTCGGGGTCCATCTGTCCTCCGTGTCTGTCCTCGGTAGCCCCTCGTGCGCCGATGCCTCTCCGCCGCCCCCAGACTCAGTCTCCCCTTGGTCCCAGCTGTCACTTGCCCCAAGGCTGCAGAAACCCCAGGGCTGGCACTTGAGGTCCTGGCTCCCGCTGTGCCGGAAGTGGAGGGAGCAGCCTGTCCTGTCCCGAGGGCCTCGGCCTGGAGTCCAGCACAGCGGGGCATCGCGGTAGCTTGCATGGCACGGCTGGGCATGGGCCGTGAGGTCAGAGAGGCCTCCGGATCTCAGGGGCAGGAGGAGATGCTGCCCAGTAATAGCGAGGGCCACTTCATACCACTGGGCTGGCTGGCTGAAAAACACCCAGATGCAGAACAACAGCGTCAGTGAGCGTGTGCAGAAGATGGAACTCGGCGGGTGGGAAAGGCACCACTGCTGCTGTGGAGTTGTGACAAAGTTTGAAGATTTCTTGAAAGGCGAACATGGCATTGTGCTGGGACCTGGTGCTTCCACTCCTAGGTATAGACCCCAAAGAACTGAAGACAGCTACTCACACAAGTGTGAATACACGTTTGTTCATAGGAGCATTACTCATAAATGCCAAAGGGCCCATTGGTGGGTGAGTGGATAAACTGTGGTATACCCATGCACTGGAATGTTACTCAGCCATCAAAAGGAACAAAATATTACTCCGTGCTTCCAAATGGACTAACCTCTAAGGACGTGATGCAAAATTGTGAAACGGGCCAGGCCCTGAGGGTTCCACTTTATTTCCAGGGTTTGCACTGATACGAAATATCTGCAATGCGCAAATCACTGAGTGCAGATTAGTGGTTGCCAGGCGTGGGGGTGACAAGTAGATGTCAGCTGTTTGCTGGGTGTGTGCTTTCTTCTGGGAACAACGAAAGTGTCTTGAAACTAGATGGCAGTAGTGGCTACACAATTTATAAACATATCAGCAAAACCCTAAAATGTCAGGGTTGCATATGTGAATGTTGCCTAAACTAGAAAAAAAAGAGGATTCTATTCTTTTTTTTCTTTTTTTTTTTTTTCCTGGACCAGGGATCAAACTCAAGTCCCTGTGCTTGTCAGGCAGGTGCAGTGTCACTGAGCTAAGTCCTCGGCCCGCATAAAAAGAGGATTTCAATAGAAAAGAAAAGGGGTGTCATCCATCTGGGGTCAGGGGCAGAGAAGTGGATGTGTAAAGCTCTATGGCCTGGGCCGCCAGGATGGAAGAGGAATCATTTGGGGCTGTATATCAAATACATGCTACAGTTAAGGGGTAAAAGTAACACAGCTTCTCCTTCTTATTTATGAGACACGTCTCAAGATGTGCTGTCTTGAACTTGCAGAGTGATCCTCCTGCTTCAGCTTCCCGAGTGCTTGGATTACTGGCATGAGCTCACAAAATTTCTTTTAAAGATATGTTTATTATGACATGAAAACAGAATAATATAGCAAGCCCAAGTCGACTAATTAGATAAGAAAACTTGCACACACGTGTGCCTGGTAACTGGAAACCTGTCCTCCAGGGGAGGTTGGAAGGCTGCGGCCCCTAATGGCCGTCTGAGGGCCGGCGCAGGGTCAGCCCGGATGCCCCCCGCTCTGTGCAGCTTTGGGGCCCACACAGGGCGTCTGCGCCCCCCACAGCAGGCCATCGTGAGGACGTGGCAAACCCGTGTCCCGGTGTGGAAGGCCAGTTCCTAGCTGCCCTGTCACACCCGCGAATGTCACACCCACGTCCCACACAACCGGGAGCTGTAAAGCGGTGACTTCAGCCTCCACTGTCCCGGGGCCCACGGGAGGTCCGAGCTGCCTGGAGGAAGGAGCAGTGGCCTCTTCTTGCCGGAGAGCCAGCGATCAGCCAGGGCCCGTGACTTCCACCCCCTCAGTCCGGGCAAGGCCGCCTTCCACTTCAGGGGCGCCTGCACCCGGCCCGCCTAGTTCAAATGTCTTTTCCACGTCGCTCTTCCTGCCAGCACCTCAGATCCTCCGCCCTTCGGGAAGGTGTCTGTCTCCCGGCAGCGGGAGGGCTGGGGCACCCGGTCGCTCGGTCGGGAGGCACTGGAGCTTTGCTAGGACAGCTGGGAGGGCTGCGGAGGACGCAGGAATGCGTTTGCCCAATGCCGGTGGGGTCCTGGTTCCCTCTCCAGAGGAGAGATGTCCCCAAGTTTCAAACAGGGGCAGGGACGGGACCTGGAGCCCAGGGGGAGTCGCGGGCAGCGAGGAGTGAGTGAGCGGGTGACCGCGTCTCGGACGCCTCGCTGGCTGTGTCGGGAGCCCCTGCCGGCTCCTTTTCTCTCGGGGCCTGTGGGCAGCACCCCAAACCTGGCTGTCGCGGGTCCCTGTGCAGGGGGCGTGGCCTTCGCTCTTGCGGTGAGCGCTAGGGGTCCCCGGAGGCCTCACTCCTTGTCCTCAGGTCGGTCAGGTGGCCCCTGTGCCAAGTGACCACAGACTTGGAGGCCCAAACTGCACAGACTTGCTCTCCCGGTCTGGGGCCCTGCGGAGCCAACCCTGTTTTGGGTGGGGGGTTGGGGATCCGATTCTCCATCCCAGCTCCTGCAGGGCCATCGTGGCCTTCAGAACCTACATTGCGGATCCCTCCGGATCCCTCCCGTCCGTCCTGTCTCCTGTCCCTCTGCTTCCTGTGGCTGGCTTGCTATCCCCCTCCCTGAGGAGACGCCCCTGGTGGGGTGCAGCCTGGAGGGGCCCCGACCGGAGAAGCTGCCCGTGGGGTCCTTACCTGAGTCCCAGTGTCGGAGACTCAGCCCCAGGTTTGAGGATTAGGTGCTGAGGTCTTGGGGGCCAGGGCCCAGCCTGGTGCTCTCCCATGCTCCCTGCCCAGCTCCACTGAGAGATTAATCTCCCCAGCCCAGGACCCCAGACCTGCTCGCTTGAGTGACTCTGAAATGGGGGTGGTAGGCACCCCACTCCTGAGATCTGCATTTGTGACTGTTCCCACTCATGAGCTAGTTTAGTAGATTTTTTTCCCTTAAATTCAAAGACACTGACAATTCAAAGACCGCACAACAAAGAGAATGAAGTGTACAGCGTCTCGGAAATGTCGGGGAGGTAGCCCTTGCACTCGGTGGTGCTGACGTCCCGGTCACTTCCACCAGCTGCGCCGTCTCTGCCGTGGCTTTTGTTTCAGAAATGGAAGTGGCATTCCTGTGCTCACACGTGGAAAGGTCTCTTAGCAACGTCTCATGCACACACACCGCTGCACACCAGCGTCTCACTGAGAAGTGTGTGCACCGGTGGCCAGCGGGCAGGTGGGCAGGTGGGCAGCGTTTAAAGCTCTGTGGGTGGGGACCTCCCTCCGGGAGGGGCCAAGCTCTGTGAAGGTGGGGACCCCGGGAGGAGCTGGTGGTGCCTGACGCAGGGTGACTTCCCTGAAAACACAAGGCGGCTCGGATGGCTCTCGACACCGCACACCTCAGGACCAGCCGCAGGAAAGCACCGCGTTGTTCCCAGGAGAGCGCTGGCTTTGGGGGCTTTGTGGCCCGAGTCTGTGCCCAGCATGGTGCCAAGCCCCTTTGCTAGGGTGTGGGCTCCATGTGACAGTGCCAGCCTGGCAAATCGAGCCCTGGTTCTGTCCCCTGTGCCAAGAAACAAAATGAAACCCTGGAGCACTCATGAATCCTCTTCACCCAACGAGGTGGTCACTACTGATCCCACTGTGCAGATGAGGGAACTGAAGCCATGCGCCATGGGGCCTGTCACCCCTGGGCTCCGGACTTTGGCCTTCACTAGAGGAGGGGACAAGATGGGGTGAAGGGTGCCAGCTCCGCAGTGAGCCTTCCTTGGCATTGGCGCTCAGCTCTGCCCGCCCAGCTGTGTGGCAATGGTGACTGCAACTCTGCAGATGCCACCACAGCCACGCAGAGACCCACGCTGGGCACGTGACCCTGCACTCACACAGGCAGCGGAATATGAGTCAGACCCTGGTGTTAACAGCACCCAGGACAGGCGGGTGCACAGCCCATGGGGTGACTGCAGGCCAAGGTGGGACAGAGGCTGGGGGAGCTCTGAAGGCTGGACAGGAAGCAACGGTCCCGTGGAGTTGGGGGGCCTATGAGGAGGAATCACAGAGGCCAAGTGGCTGCATTGCCAAGTGCTCAGGGGGTGCAGAGAAGTCGGGGAAGGGCGTGGAGACCTCAGTGGGCTCAGACAGCGAGGTGGCTGGAGGCAGTCATATCCCGAGGCGGGGACAGCATCCAGGCCTAGAGGGGAGGCGTAGGGTTGTGGATGGTGGGGGTGGGACGTTCCTGGAAGACATTTGACTCCCACCATGACAGAAGAAGCGGTAGTCTGGGGTCTGGAGAGGGCAGGTGGTGCATCTGGAAGGGATAGGATTCTGGCCCCTGGAAGGTGCGGCCTCCTGGGCAGGCAGCAGGGCTGCCATTCTGTGCTGGAAGGCAGAGAAAGCCTGGTCATATTGGGATCAGGGGTTTTGGGGTTTTCAGTGAACCCGCCCCTGGGTCATCACAGCTGCAGCATCTCTGGCTGGGGGCAAACAGGGAATGAGACACGGCCAGGCCAGCCAGGGGTCCTTGGAGTCACCAAGGAGGGTGACAGCTGGGGTGGAGAGAGGACATCCAGGGGCACAGAGCAGTCCAGCTGGGACTTGGGGTTCTGCATTTTTTGTTGCAATTCCATTGGGGAATTTCTTGGGGCTCCGCTGACCCCCAGTATCTTCTACAGATGAGGAGTCAATGGGAAATCACTGGCCAGTCTTTCCCTCGAGGAGTTTGGGGTTGTTTCAAGCACTGTGGTGCAGGCCTGCAGTCCCAGCACTCGGGAGGCTGAGGCAGGAGGATCATTGCAAATTGGAGGCCAGTCTGGGCTACACAGTGAGTTCAGGGCCAGCCTGGGCTACACAGAGAGACCCAGTCTTACAAAAAAAAGACGCCAGCCCTTGGAGAGTGGCAAGGGATGAAGAAGGGACCAAAGCTAGTGTCAGACAGGAGCAGGAGGAGCGGGAGATGCAGGGGGCTCTCGGACAAGGAGCCCAAGGGGAAACGACCGGGTAGGTGGGCTGGGACCCAGGGTGCTGCTCCTCGCTCGCTCACGGTGCCCCTGCAGTGGCAGGGACCCCTCACCCTCTGCTTTCTCCTGGCCCCCAACACAGAACGTGGGCAAGGTCGTCGCCAAGGGCTGCCGATACCTCATCCTCGGCCTGCAGAGCTTCGCCACCGCCTACTCCTCCCCGTTCGCAGTGGCCACCAGCGTGGTATCCTTCGTGCGCTAGAGGACCCCGCGCCTTCTGGACTTGGACTCGCAGTGCACGCGGACTGAACCAGAGAGCTGCCTTCCTTGTTGGGTCGGACGGGTCAGGCGCGAGCCACCCTGCTGCCCTCCGGCTGCCTCGGCTCCTGGACACTGGCCGGGTGTCCTGTGGCCTGGACTGGGCCCGGGAGAGTTGGTCCTGGGACACTCAGCCTTCGTGGGAAGGCAGCAGGGTGGGCTGGAGACGGGCTAAGTCCATCCCAGGGCAGGGAGCGGCCTTGCCGGGCCCCTGGTTCGGGGTTCCCCTGCTCAGGGTGCAGGCGCCCGGGGTGCCCAGCGCCCTGGCTTCCTCACTTCCGAGGCTGCACAAAGTAGCTGTGTATTTCTCTTTTCTTTCTTTTTTTTTTTTGGATCCAGGGATTGAACTCGGGTCTGCGGTTTTC